CATTAGCTTAGTCTAGCATCAACTTCTGTGTCTAAAATGTCATTTACAGCTAAAACTAGAGTATCTTGTGTAAGTTTAAGTTCGAAAATCTAAAAACTAAGTCCATTGATAGTCCAAGGGTTCCAACTACCTATGTAAAAATATTGAAATGGAGTCAAACCAAACCTAAAATGTTTGGTGTTATTACAACTTAACTCCACCATGAATAATTGATTGACCTAATCACTTAAGTTGATCATGGAATAATTTTGTAGCCCTTCTTTCATAATCTTATGAATCCGTTCAATTTGTCCATCATTTTGGGCATGATAGGTAGTAGAAAATGATTGTTATGTTTCTAACCGTAAAAATAAATGGGTCTAAAAGTCAGATAGAAATCAAAAATCTCTATATGAAACTATCTTCCTATGTATACGATGATGTTGATGAATTTTCTTGAAGAACAAGTTTACAGTATGAATAACAATAATAATGGTCTGACATGGTATAAAAAGAGCATGTTTTTACAACAGATCACACACTACACATATGACATTGTATCCCTAACTTCAGATAAGCCTACGAAAAAATCCATGGCCAAAGATTACCAAGGACCATCAGGTACAATCAATGGTTACAGCAATCTAGCCTCATGAGAGTGAAGAGTTTGATTATGCTAGCAAACTAGACAACTATCAACATAATCACATATTGACCTCTTCATCCTTGACCAATAAAGATGAGCTTGCTTCAACTTATGTAGGATAGCCTCTCTTCCTTTATGTTAAGTAGTTGATGCATCATGATGTTCCATCAATAATTTTTGTCTGAAAATACTCTTTGGAATATATAGCTCATGATGTTTGAACCAGCAAAATCCTTCAGTGTTCTTGGTGAAGGTATCATAGAATAATTACATACTCATTTGGGTTTCCCAAATCTCTCCTTGAGTACAATAGCTAGCAAGTCCTTCAAGTTGTTCTTTGATCTTGATGTTGTGATAGTATGCACTCTTCAAAACCTTGCATCTGGGATAACATTTTCTCTCCCTAGTTTACATCTCATTTCCATGTCAAATCGAGCTAACTTTGCTTGCCATCTTTGTTGTTTCAGTGAAAGATGAGACTTGGTTTGAAAGAAAATAAATGAAATATTATTAGTGTGGAGGTAATATTGTCATTTCTTTAAACACTAGACAATAACAAACAACTCCTGTACATGGACTAGTCAACTTTGCTCAATGTTCAAAAGTTTTTTGGATTCATAAGCTACCAATCTACCATGTTAGATCAATATTTCTTCTATAGCAATTTTAGATCCGTCATAGAAAATTTCAAAAGACTTTTCTAACAATGGTTATGCTAACATCGGATATGTAGACAAAATACGTTTGAGGTCATCAAACACTTCTATCCATATCCAAGGTGTCTTAGTCTTTAGCAAATCATACAAAATGGATGTGATTTTCACATAGCTTGGTATGAACCTACCAAAATAAACTCCAAGTCCAAAAAATACTCGTAGTAGAAAAACTGAATTTAGGATCTCCATCCTAATAAAACCTTTATCTTGGCCACATTAGCATGGATCCTTTGCTCATCAATTATGCAGCCCATGAACTCAACATACCGCTTCACAGATGAGCATTTCTTCCTCTTGAGATATAGTTGGTGAGCACATAATTTATCTAAAATCCGGCACATATATTTCAGATGATATTTGAACATATGAGAGTAGATAATAATGTCATCCAAGTATACTACCACACTGTCATCCAACATATCTCGGAATATGTCATTCATGAGGGTACATAAGGTGGCTAAAGCATTGCTCAATCCAAACGGTAGCACAATATATTCATACAATCCATATCTTGTAAAAATAACAATCTTATGCTTATCACCTTTGGATATTCTAATATGATGATATCCAAAGACCAAATCCATCTTGATGAAGTACCGTGCATCTGCCAATCTATCCATCACTTCATCTATCAAAGGCAAAGCGTCCTTGTTTTTCCTAGTCTTCAAGTTTAGTGATCCAAAGTCTCCACAAATGAGAATAGAACCATCTTTTTTGCTCACAAATAAAACTGAAGCTGCATAAGGAGATACACTAGGCAATAGATGACCCTTGTTAAGTAGCTCCTGGAGTTGCTTTTTGAGCTTAGTTAATTCGTCAATGGTCATATGAATAGGAACACCAACAGACTGCTGAGCTCCTTCCACCAATTGCTGAATACCACGATCTTTTTATGATGGAGTTTTATTTGTTGCAATAAACTCTAGTGTGGACTGGTGAGGAGGAGAAAGAGAGAATATCAGCTCACAATGGGGTCATGAAGATTCTTTTACAGCCAAGCGCTCATACATTCTCAGAGCAAAGCAATGTCCATACGACAACATCTACTCCTTTAAGGCTCTTAGCAAATTGTCTTGCACAACAAAAATGTGAAAAATTTCACGTATAATATGTTCTACCTCCTCTTGGAAAGTAAGTAGAGGAATAGTGTGTTGCTTTCCCCAGCTGTTTGTGATGGCAAGAGGATTAGCCTCAAGGCTCTCAACCCGCTCATATATAAAATCTAAATCATCGTGGTTATTAGCTTCTGAGTTTCCATGTGTAGTCATGGTGAAAGTCTTTTTTTTGAAGTAAAACCACTCTACTCTGAGGTCAAATCCTTCCACTTTCATCAAGAGGAGCCAAAACTTGATAATGTATTCTTTCACTAATCTTGCCTATACAACCGAGCCAACTCTCCCACCTTGATCTTTCGGTCGTTGCTTGGAACTAGATTATAGTTTTGTTTCTCTTTAAACACATCCCAATCTAGCATAATGAGAAAGGAAGGCTAAGGATCTATAGCATGTCTTTCTTATTCGGTCATAGCGTACCATATCTATGCATCACTAGTAGGCCTTCTCACTGCAAAGTAGATCTTGACCTCTTCCTCCATACCCGTAACATTGAAATAATTTTCCATTTCATTAACCCATATCTCAAAGGCAGCTAAGTCTCTCTTCCTAAAGAACTTCTCCGGTTAATCCAAAATAATATCGGTTAAGACAGATCTTAACCGGTAGAGGGATGGAATCAACATCAATATATACTCTAGTAGGCGGAATGTCAGGCAAACATCTACTACCTACCCTCTCAACCCAGTCCAAATTCAAAGATCATTACTATGTTAATATCTCTTCTACTTTCTCTAGCGTAGTCTTCAACTCTGCATGCAAGGATGTCAACTCAGTGTCTCGAGCTGAGTGACCATCATCAAACTCATCTGAGACTTTGCACTTGCGTGTGCGTTCCTCATCCTCAGAGTCTGGTATGTTAGCTATTAGAATAAGAGAGTGCCTCCGAAGACCCTACTGGCCAAGAATCATTTTCTTAGAGTTTCCCAATCTTGCTCTAATACCAAATGTAACACACTTTCTCCTCTCCAAATATCTATCACAACACAAACAAACAACCCGCCTTTGCTACAAACAAAAACACTCTCTAAAGACAAATCCCCACAACATATCTCAGCTCAAACTGTGTTTTGAAGGCTCAAAATATCTGTAATTGCCTTAGGACGTGACTTTTTTGTTAGACTATCTCGCTTTTCCAGCCACCATGCCTATCTTCACCTGGTCTAGGGCTTCCCCAATCTTTGATTAGACCGGCTGTAAGGTCAAGAAGATTCCCTATCCTTTACTTCTCTCTTTTCTCCTCTCCTCTTCTCTTCTCTCCTTTTTTCCTGTATGTAGCTCCCTCTCTCTCTATGAAAGCCTGTGAAAACCCGTAAAAATTGTAAAAAATATATCCTCTATGCTATGTGCCAAGGGTTTAAAATACCTTAGTGGAAAAAAGTAAGACAATGTATGTTTTGGCCCATACATGACCAAAGAATTGGGTGGTGGATTTGCACATGTGGGTATGTGACAACTACCTACTCCACATCATTTGACTCCTAACCAACTCATAGCTTTGTTCTTGTGTTGTAAATGAGTCTATGTGGAATGAAAAACTTGATGGTGGAGGTCGTTAAAGATAGAGCAACATCTGCATTGAGCACCAACATAGCACTGAACACATCAAAGTCATTCAATTCCTGCAGGTTTTTTCCTTTGGTTTTTACGTATCACGGTAGCAATAACGTGGTGTTGTGGGTTTTTGTAGGGCATTGTTGACGAATGAAGTCAAATATCACAGTAATGAGCAATCTGAATCATGATAAAAAATTATAGTTGTGTTTGGATGCCCTGGAATTACCGTGACTAAGGCTGGACTAATATACCTGATGGCGTGAGCACACATTCATTCCTTGTCTATCCCATGACTAAGCAAATCACATACATTGGTGGCTTATAATCCATACATAAGATGATGTCGTAGTTTGCTTCGTATTAGCAATGAAAATACCGTACAAGAACTACTTCTCAAATGGACAATATTTGTAAGATTTATCAAAAATGTAAAGAAAATTGTTACACTTTGATGTTAAAATTTAGCAACAATGGAGAACGTGTATGCATGGAAGAGATTGAAAGTGTAAAAGATAAGAATATAATATCCTCGTAGACAATATTGAGTTTGCCACCCAAACTTGGTCACAAGTTCTTGAGCAAAGCCAAACCGTAACCATTAATGTGTATACCATGGATAAATCCATTCAGAAATTGTCTCCAACAGTTTGCAAGAGCTATTCAACATAGAGGAACCGAATGTTGAGACCAACATCACACAAACGTATCAAAAGAGAGATTAGCTTTCTCCTTTTCATTTTAGATCATTTCTTGTCTGCTTTGGTTTTTGTTTTGTATATGAGTTGATGAGTTTTCATAACGCTTTTTATTCCATGCAACTCCTATTTATACTTCATACAAATTTCAATCTAGAACACAGTGCTAGGCTTTGGCTGTATACCGTCTCTAATGACTGTCTATGACTATCTATTAAAAAAATTCCAATGTAAATTCCACCCTGTCCATGAAGTTAAAGTGCAGCAAAAGAATACAGTCAAAAATTTCAGCCATGTCCGACCTGCCGGATTCAAATCAGCGACCTAGAGACGTCTGACTCAGCACTATAGTCTCTCGCTCTACCAACTGAGCTAAGGTCGGTCGCGAAACTTCATTTGTACACAATTTATATATTTATATTTTTGTGAACATCACATGCTTGTCAACAACAATATAATCATTTTTTCAACATATTTAAAATTTCAACTATTTATGGTTGCTGCATACGCAAGACTAGTTTTCATTTGGTGCGTCAATCTAATTTTGTTATCTTGAACACATCAAAGATTTCTCTGGTAGAAATGCGTATTCTCTACAGGCTATTGGCTCGACAATTAAAGCAGTGAAATGGATCCAAAATGTAGTTTTAAGTTAGATGGAATTCACTGAAATCTCATAACTGATTCCGTCATATGTTTTTGAGGCACTCTTCGTGATTCAGGTGGGCACTGCTGAAAGTCCATATCTATGTACCTGCGGCAAACAAGACTGTTGAAATATGGGTGTTTTGCAAGTCCCTAGTGATCCAAGAGCAAACCCCTGTTCCAATCGTAGTTAAGGTGTGCCTAGTATACCTTGTATTATCAGTCTCTTTCTCATTACCGTTTCTCAGTTCCTGTTTAGATTTGAGGAATCTCGCTGTAAATGAGAAATAGTCATCCTACTCTGCATATGGGATATCTAGAGAGGTCAACTCTTTGGAGTTATATGGAACCATCCACATGTCCGTGAGGAATGCGCTAGAGCCTACTATACTAGGCGGCACCGGTATCACTCTCTTTAGATTATTGTATAACCTATTTTAAACAACGTGTTTTCATTACTGTACACAGAACACTAGTTGGTGCAATCCATATAAAATCATTCATTTTAGGTGATGATTCTTCATATGCGTCACATTGTTTGTATACCGTTTCACATAGATAGCTAGATAGTTCTTATATCTTAGGTTATGTATGACATATTTCCCAGTGTGATACTATTAGGGCCTGCACCATGTTACCGGTTTGGTTCTATCCTTGTACCAGTTGATGGGGTCTTCCCATCACTTTTGCTGACAATGAAGAGTGAAAGACGCTCTTCATTATCAACACTCTTATCTAGAGGGGAGTCAAAACTTTAAGAGTTAGATTTCAAGCTAGCCAAATGCAAAATCCTTCACTTAAATGGCTTAGAAGCAAAAACATGAAAAATGCATTCAAAACTTGGAGAAAGTTGCAATGGTCCTCAAAATGTGTTTTGCACTCTTCTCTCACGTTCATGTAAATGGTTCAATGCTTTTTCTATTGACTTCAAAAAATTGAAGAGGAGGGAGCTAACTAGGCAACACTAGGAGCTAGAGATGACTCTAGTACACTAGGAGCCAAAGATGACTTTGATTCATTAAAAGACATCTTAGAAAAAAAATTTATGAGCTCTTGGATCACTTTTCAACTAAATCTCATGCAAGTTCAATCAAACTTTTAAAACTCTTTCGCTCCTCAAGTTTGCATCAAATGACGACACAAATTTTCTTGACGATCTATTTATATTTTCAAGGCTGCAAAATAATAAAAAAGTTGGTAATCCTAATCTTCCAATTATGATTGTTGATGTTTAGATTGCATGTACTATTATGCACCAATAATGACATCCTACCATTGTGCATTATGGACAGGTCAGATTTTGATCTTAATGGAGATGATTCGCATATTAGTGTGCTTGGTGACACCATGGTATGCTACTATGCTAGCCTGGCTAGTAATTCCATTAGTTGAGGGGTGGCAGAGTCAAATTCTACTAAATAGATGTCATGATCCCATTGTTAATACTACAAGTGTTATCAGTATCAAAAGAATCAACACATGTTTGCTTTCAAAAAGTGTGGCTACCAATCGTAATACATGAGATGTTGACACCCCAACACTAATAAATCCTTGTTAGAAAATATGAGAATGAACAAGAGTTTTGCTACCCCCAACATTATAATGGATGCTACCTCAGATAATGTTTATGGATGGACCTTACTTGCTCCATCTTCAAGTCTATCAACACTAGCTTCCATCCTCATCCCCTTATATATCATCTAGAAACCATGGATAAGATATTAAGTTCCTAAGACAATGTGAATTACTGAGGAAGTATGATGTGTTGGCCTGCCTTTTCTCTTTGTTTACATGCAACAAAATGCACTGAGATGCATTTTGTTGCATGTAAATGTAATTATCAACATGAAATATGTTAATTAAAGGTCAATATTCACCTCTTCGGATGGTAACATAACGCAAAATAGTTGCAGACAAGTCTAGATCTCTACCATATAATAAAAAATATGGTGAGAATGATGCTAGAGATGCTTACGTGCTAAATTGATAATCCATGGCCAACCATGATAGCTAGATGTCCAAGTCTCCAAGATGATCTTTCTCCAAGCCAAACTTTCTAAGTCCTCTCTTCATTGTGTGAACAACTCTCTCTACTAGATCATCAGCCTCAAGATGATCTTTTATAGTTGTATGATGATCAATCAACACTCAATCACACAAAGCCTAAAACTCATCCAAAAACTCTAACCCTGATCAGTCAACACCTCCTTTGATGCACCAAATCGGTTAAGTATCAAAACTAAGAAAGCATAAGTTGTTCCCTCACTTGACTTGTCAAGCAATGCCACCAACTCAATCCACTTGGAAAAATGCTTCATCATGACCAACACATATCAATAATGTCATATAGTAAATGGTAGAGTTCATACAAAATCCCATCTCCAAGGATAACCAAGTCTTATTATAGGTAGAGGATGTAATTATGATGTAGGGGCACTTAATGATGCTCAAACACAATCACATAAGCAAGATTGCCTCCATCTTGGCTTGCTTAACTTCCAATCCTCCTAGCTATATGATATGATCCAAGTACTCTACCTGATCTGTGACCTCCGGGCTGACTCTCACTCAAGTTTACCTCCGATGGCTTTTTGGAAGCTCATCATGAATCTAGAAGGACTTAGTCCCACCCTTTGCCCATGATCCTATTGCTCACTCTTACACAAACTCTCAAAGTCCAAGCTCTATTATGCACATTATCACCAAGAGTAAGATATCACTCAAAAGGAAAGGGATACTTTGGTAATCAAAGTCTTCATTGAATCAAGGTTCCACTCCGAACATGACATCTCCAAGAACCAAGCTCCCTAAAACTAAGATCACCACACTATCTCCTCCCAAAACTAACTTCCATTGAAAAACTACTTGAGAGGTGCTTCTCAACCTCTCTATTTATACTACTTAGAATCTTACCCTAGTAACTACAAGTAATCACCATGTAACTTCCTCTTACCAAGTTTAAACGAGGTAGAGATCACAAACCCCAATGAAAAGGGTACATGGCAACATGCAATTGGTCCACTTGGATCTTCTAGAAGCCCAACTACTCCCTAATTGACTTCTAGTGTACCAAGTCAATCTTGCCCCTAGATTTAAGGGTCTTCACCAAGTCCAACCAATGAAAACTAGTCCAAGTCAAGGGAAGTCAAGATACCCATGTGATGGAATCTATTCCTTGACTCATACTAAACAACAAAATAGTAGTTCTCATCTACCACACCAAAAGTTACTCTATATTTTCCTCCAACTTAACCATAACTAGCTAAACATAGTCATGACTAAGATAAACTTAGGCACAATTTAGATATACTTTCATTTTATCCTATATGTACAACCCCTGGTCTTACATTTACCCCGGACCAAGATTTCACTCCGTCCTCCTGAGTGAAAGAATCTGATCGTCGATGAAACGGCTTCAACTTGTCATGATTCACCCGGTCAAAATGTCGTCCTCCCAACTCCTTCAAATCGTAAGTAAAGTTTCCCACACCTTGTGAACTATGAAAGGACCAAAGTACTTTGGAAGAAATTTCTTTCTTGCTCTCTTATATCTAATGGAATCGTAAAGCATTACCCAATCACCTTCTTTGAAAATCTTCATCTTCTTCGTCCCAAATCGATTATCATGATACTTCTTCTGCAATTGTTGAGCCCGCTCCACACGTACCATGGCCAGCTCGAGCCTCCTCCAGCTCCAACAGTTGTTGACATCTTGATTTGATAGCTTCTACTCCATTCTTCCTCTTTAACTTCCGTTGGATAGTTAAGAAGGTCGTCAAATCAAATTGAATTGGAAGCTTTGACTCGACACCATATACCATACGGAAAGGTGAGTACCCCGTTGATGTCTTCCAAGTCGTCCGATACTCCCACAAGATAGCATGCAGCCTTTTTGTCCCAATTTTGCTTGCTCCCGTCCATGTCTGCATCCTTGGCCAACATCATGCAAAGCGTATAGTTGGTTCGCTTCCGCCAACCCATTAGCATTTGGTTTGTAGGAAGTAGTCACCCGTGCCTTGATGGAGAAATGACCTAGCATGGCTTGTATAATGCTTCCAACAAACTCACCACCTCTATCGATACAATTTCTAGAGGGCATCCGAATCTAGTTATTATCCTCTCATATAGAAATCTACCCACTTCTTCCTCACTAGTAGATTTTAGAGGTCTAGCTTCTACCCACTTGGTTAGATAACTGTAGCTACCACAATGAACTTGTTACCCCGAGGAGTAAGATTCAAGGGTCCTACAAAATCTATTCCCCACTTTTCAAAAGGACCTAAAATAGGAACTGATGTCAAAGGAGGGGTTTTCATGGAATTTTTTAGCAAAAGCTTGACACACATCACAACTCTTGCAAAATTCCACACAATCTTTGAAAATGCCCTTCCAATGATAGCCCTGCATCTAGGATCTTAAATGCGCTTACCTTTCCCCGCAAAGTGTCCTCCACATACCGAGCCTTCATGAAACTCCTTCATAAGTTGAATTGACTCCTCCCTTCCAACAACCCTTCGAGTAGTCCATCTGCTCCTTGATGAAACAACACGCCCTCTATGATGGTATAAGGTTCACATCGCTTCACCAATGCATTCCTCTCCCGTGAATGCATGCCTTGGGGAAACTCTCCTCCGAGATGAAATCCCATATCCCCTTGTATTCAGCCGGTACCTTTGTTATGGTGTCCATCATCGCAAATCCTCATCCGGAAATGTATCATCCATTGGTTGATCTCCTTCCTC